TTGGAGAAGTCATTTTGAGCAAAATTATATCAAAAAGTCAAAAGTCGATAAAAACAAATGAGCATATTGCATGTCCCTGGTGAGCAGTGACAAATGTATACAGTATTCTAAACATTATTTAGAAGCAGCCCATGTGTAAAGACATAACTTTGTGTTTTGTGTGTGTCAATTAAAAATTAATTTCCTCACAGTAGTTTAGGCAAGATAATATCGGTGACACAACTTTCATATCGATAATCATTTATGATTCTTTCCATTGATGATATTTCCAATTATTGACTATTTCAGCCAGTCCTAGTTCTGACACAATACCCCAAAGCATCCACATTGAGGTATCGAGAGTAGTATGGTCATGCCTCATTATACAGTGTAACATAGCAACCTTATTACCATGACAACACACACATCAATGGTTCAGTACCTAAAGTCAGTACCATCATAGTTCCAAGTCTTAGAAGAAAGTGTGATGTTCTTGAGACAGTGTTAGCTGCTTGCTGAACTTGTATGTATCTGTATGGAGGGGTTCGAACTTTAAGATCAAAACGTCCTACAACTGGAGCAAAAACAACCTTTTCCTGATTAAATATTGATATTGTCTTTAAATGATATTCAATGAAGTGTTGTAATGATTGATATACCACCCTGCTTGCTACTCTCACCTACAGCCAGTGATATGTTGTGTTGTAGTAGTATCGACTAGACTAAAAATGATATTCCTATCAGTTGTCAGTTATCAGTGATGCTCTTTATGCAAATTATGCAAATATTTATGTAATATCTGTAAGCTTGTTGCTTGAAAGAAAACTATCACATGATAATGCAATATAAATATTTATTTACTTTAATTGTATATATATTTGTAAGTAAAATGTATTTAAGTGAAATAAATTTCATAAGGACTTCCCCTTGTCTGTTTGATTATTGTCCCCCGCCGCAACGCGGAACGCGGAACGGGGGAATATGTTATTCAGCTGCGTCCGTACATCCCGATTCTTGTTAACGTGATATCTCATGAACTGTTGTACCCAATGTCTTCAAATTTGGTGACAGCCTACATTGAGGGATTACGCAGACACCAGTCGATTTGGGTGACCTTGACCTTATTTTCAAGGTCACCACGACACTTTGACCACTTTTCAAACGCTTGTTAACGCGATATCTCATGAAATGTTGTACCCAATGTCTTCAAATTTGGTGACAGCCTAAGTGTATACATTAGGGGATTACGCACACACCAGTCGATTTGGGTGACCTTAACCTTATTTTCAAGGTCACCACGACACGTTGACCACTTTTCAAACCCTTGTTAATGCGATATCTCATGAAATGTTGTACCCAATGTCTTCAAATTTGGTGACAGCCTAAATTGGGGGATTACGCAGACACCAGTCATTTCAGGCATTCTTTAGCAGCGGGGGACATTGCCATATCAGTGGCAAACACTTGTTGTATTAGATCTGAGCAGCAATCAAAGGTGACATTCGATTTTAGTCATGTCAAGGTAATATTGATTTTGTTTGTTGACAAAAATGTATATCTGTACATCCTCCAACTGGAATTAAAGTGATTGTCAACTCAACCACTAGCATTGGTGTGTGTGACTTTGACCCTTGAGGGTTTGGGGGGAAATAATCTTATGTGCATTTGTTTTCTGGTAGGTGATGGATTACAATGTCATGGGCATTATATGCATGCAAACATAGGTATGACCTCTGGTGTGACTAAAGGATAATACACAAGCAAGACGTGTGGTGTCACATGATGAGCTAGCAGTACAAGGGTACCTGGTAGGTGATGGATTACAATGTCATGGACATTATATGCATGCAAACATAGGTATGACCTCTGGTGTGACTAAAGGATAATACACAAGCAAGACGTGTGGTGTCTCATGAGGAGCTAGCTATGATATAATGAGCAGTTATTTACAGCAGTACAAGGGTACCCGGTAGGTAACGGATCATCATGCCTGGGATATACTAAAGGGCACACATGGAACTCGTTATCACATCAATAATGGAACCTGTATTAAATGTACTTTTGCACAAGAAATACATGGCAATGTATCCCCTGAGGAAAGAACTTGTAAGAGTTTTACCCATCTCAGTGCAAAGAATAGGGTCAAACATCTGCTTGTTATCTAACCCATGATATGATATGAAAAAAAGATTGGTGGCTTGGTTTAAAGGTGTGTCATCTACCGTGGTCACAATATCAATCACTGGATTGTCTAGTCAAGACTATTACACTCAAAGCACAGGGTGCCGCGTCAAACAATTAAACAATAAAACAACAAACAAAAAGTAAATGGATAAACAAAATTGTACCTGATACAACACGCTGCGCATGTGCTGTGAGACGAAAGTCACTGGCTACATCCGTTTGTCTCTAAATGAGAACGATGAATTGCAAAATAATTCAAAATCGGGAATGTCTAAATAATATGCCAATTCTGTACAAGGCAACTGTACTAAACAGTATCTGCTGTTTGTTATTTTCATACCCATCACTGGAAAAAGGTGTGAACAAGTTGACAATCTTTATCGATGGGGGCACAACTCTTGGAGGAACAGCAAAATATATTACCATCAAAAGTTTAGACTCACTTAAAGCACCAGTCTAAGTAAACTTAGGCTCAGTATTATTCGTTACACTGCTATACTCAGTAACGAATAATACTGAGCCTAAGTTTACTTAGAATGTTAAAGCACTCACTATATGTTATATATATGTAATGTATGGTTACATCGAAGGTGAATTTCTCCACTAACTTGGGGGAACCAACTGCAAACCTTATGCAGATGAATTGCACGAGGATCATGCATCAAATTGCTGTAAAGCATGTGCAAATATCATGCATGTAAAGTTTTGTTACGAATTCGTCAATTTTCACTGAGTTTCATCATTTATTGAACTCATGACAATAATCTTTTCAACGTTACAAATGTGTTTTACAATACATCAGTTCAAGTGTAAAAAATACCTTTAAACAGTATGGAAAGTTTTGCAAAAGTTATTTTAGAACAGTTGACTTAAGTAAATGGCTACATTTACACTAGTGAGTCTAAACTTTTGATGGAGAGTATACGTACTGCACGTGTTACAGAGTCACTTATGTGAAATAGTTGATTTTGAAGGTGTATGATTTCTTTCAGCGTGAAGCAGATAGAGGAAAGATATTTCATGCCATTAATAAATACTTGCATACTTTTAAAGCTCTTGCTGTGTCTCCTAACAATGAGGACATACAGTGGGGAGTATATCAAAACCATCAAGGCTTGGTAAATTTGGGCCAAGTTTTGTAAAAGTCAGACGTGCAATTGCTAAACTGTATTCAGAAAATGAGTACTTGACAGTAAGATTCTTGAAGAAATACATTGAAACCGAACATGATGTATTATTGTTACAAATGCAAGCCACGGCAACGTTTTGATACACTTGAACAGAGAAATAGAAACAACAAGATAGGTGGTAAAACTTGGGCGGTGTGACGTGAACGATCTCACATCGTTCTTCTCCGAAAGCATTATCTTCGTACCATCAAGCAGAAATGGATACGAGCCTTGGGCAAAGCGTCCCAGGCACTACTATATTCGTAAGCCAACAAAAAAACTACACTAAACGCCAAAAGAAACGTTACCGTCCTTCCTTATGACGGAGGTACCTATCTTCAGCTGGCGTTGTGATGCGTGGACGTCCCCTTCTTGGTCTGTCTACGGTGACCCCAGTCTGTCTGAAGCCCTAAATAAGTCTTATAACCGTGATACGGTGGCATCCGAGGGCGTTGGCAACAGCATTGTATGTCGACCCCATCTGCACCATCCCAATGGTTCTTTCTCTCCCTTCAGCTGTTAATCGTGGCATATTTCTCGTACTTGTGTATCAGATCATGTATTCTAGGCTATCTGTATACCCTATAGAATCATTCCACATGGGAAATGGATGTAAATACTGCTTGAATATTGCTGCGTTTTGGCGATTGATATTGCGATGTGTAAACAGAAAATGGAAAAGTGTTACTTTGCAAACAAAAATGTTAACAAAGATAATATTAGATGTTCCTAAACATTTTTTCACAATATCAAAGACACGTTTTACTTGTTTTCACTAATGCAAATCAGCAGAAAATGTTTTAAAGGCTGAAATCATAGGAATGATTATTTTACAATTTTACACAATCTACAACAGTTGTTTTTGTTTTAATGTTTGAAAAATGGTGACTTTTAATGGCTTATCATTGTCCCAAAGCAGAATTTTATTTGAACCTTTCTGTTCGACATCAAAATCACTATTATTGGGTTATTTCGGCATGGACGAATATAGGACAATTTATGTCTTCTGAAAAAGATGCATTTCACCTAAATATGAATGCATTTGAGAATTTTGTTTCGTTTTTTGAATAAAGCTGTGTTGTTAAGCTTTCTTGTAAACTAAAACATTCAAACATATCTTTGATATTTTTTTCAGTAATTCATAATGGAGTCCGATCCATGAACGACAATGTGTTTCTGGAGTGAGTGAACTATAAATTAGCCTCAGTACTATTCGTTACACTGCTATACTGAGTCGCAGTGTAACGAATAATACTGAGACTAAGTTTACTTTGACTGGTGTATATGGTTGACAATTACGTCAAAGGTCAAGGTCAAACCGTTTTACGACCTCCCCTTACAACTGCAATCTGAACCCCTCCACTCGATGTATTTTATTTGCAAGATCAGTATTCGAGCACTTCATAACCCAAGTTTCTGGCCATATGACATTCATAACCGACTGTGGGGCAGGTCCTCATTAAATTGTAACGAGTGTTTATTATTAAAATATTATTCTAGGTAACATATTTCTGTGGCATGAATCTTGAAACGTCGATTCTTTTTTCGCCATGTGCACAAATCCAATACTGTGACGTCACAAGCAGATATCATATCTTGACGTCACAATAGAAAGGCGTCATAAGTTTAACAAGGGCCTGACGTCATAGACAGTCACAATCAGTAAAGATTCCGGTAGGATTACACCATGACGTGACGCGAACCATGAATAACCACAAACTTTTCTACGGCAGGGCCCGGACCGTGTTCGGGTGCCGGGTGAAGCGGGTGTGGTTCCAGCTCAATCCGTTCCTCGAACGAACCAAAGTCAAGGACGACGAACATGGCGTCTATCAACCAAGTAGCAAGTTTGTCCTCCCCCTGCAGTCCATTGTCCTCTGTGAGGACATGAACTCAGATGCTGATCCAGGATGGCAGGAAATCTCCGCAGGTAGGAGTCAATAAATGAAAGTATAGAATGAAGTATACACAATTATAGAACGGTGTACGCAGGCCTTCTCGTCGAACGTAAGCGGCGACAACTTGCTCACGTTGTGGTCTAGCATTGCCATCTAGCAGTTTAAAGTTTAGGTCAAACACTGCATTGCAACTGTACCTATTTGACAGTACTTGTCCAACAGTTGACGAGTTGAGGAAATTACACTTTACAGTTGCCAAATATTTCAGGCAACTAGGGCTATTGACATCCACAACACCTTACACCTCCACCCCTGACCCATCTCTATCGTACCCACAATTACCCATCTTCATGGGATACTGTATCAAAGGCCTTTTGGGTATTTCTCTATCTGTATCTATGATTGTGAGTTCCACTATGGGCGCGCACACCTTCATGCCAAGGTGCACACGTTGTGTACATGCAGGATTTGAAATTTCATTGTGAGCAGATGCGTTCAGATTAGACTAACAACTAGTTTCTGAAATGAACATATTTTACTGGAAAAAAATTCATATTAAAAAAATATATATATATATAATGAACAGAAGCCCTGAGACTTTCTTCATTTTCAGAAGCTGAGGAAATCTAGACTTGCCACATTTTCTAGACTTGCGTGGGCTTTCTTGGATATATTTGCTTCAGGGTCTGTATGACAGACTACGTTCAGATGTAAATCCACGGTATCGTAAATGTACACCTCAGCATCAGCTACATTTGAAATCACTAGGCTTTTGCCCCTGTATGCTCATGTAGAACATGCCAGTGAAGAACACATTGATTCTATATTCAGAGTTGTCTCTATGGGTATTTATCCAATACGACACACAATCACTTTTGTATCAACACATGTATGATGACGATTATTTAAGTGAATAATACTTTATGTACGACATGCCATCACTCATTGCATACTCTTTCAATCAATTTATATAAATCTGCCTAGATACAATATGCGGCTTCATTCATAATAGGCTTCTCAAATACCACATATGGCCGACCACTTGACATTGAGGATGGCCTTATATGGCACTAACTACATTTTGTGAATATTCCACATTATATGACGCATAACACCTCTTCCAGCCTCGTTCTGGGACTACCTGTACTCCAACTCGTGGGGTGAGGAGTGTTCGCTGAGGGTGATGGATGGTGAGCTGCTGGAACTGTTGCTGACCACGCTGTTCGCCATGGATCGGGACCAGGAGGTGGCCAGCCACAACACCTTCGCCTATACCACCAACACACGTGTCAACCATGCCTACTTCAAGTCTGCAGAAGCAAAGAAGGTGAGATTGCGAACGCAAATTAAGAGAAACACTTTTCAAGGATAGACAACGTCTTCATCATACCAGGTTCTAAAATATCACTTAAAGAAGGTGAAACGCAGATTGTCTAATCCATACAGTTTGGACAGCGTGTGGTCTCTACTGGAACAAAAGTTTTATGCTTACCCACTCAAAATACAATTTGGATCGTTCAGTGAACCACTCCCCGAAACAATTCGACCACTCGCACATAGCGTTCTTAACGCTGCAACCAGCATAATTTTATGCGTATTTCAAAGTGTGTCATACCCTTCTGTGCAAAATGAGTGAATATTGTCTGACTTCGCTTTGCATTATTTTATCAATATCACGACAGGGTGAACCACAAATGGGTATGTTTTGATTTTTCAGAAAGAGCATTTCATAAATGAGACCCTACTGATAGATTTCACCTACTACGGTAGACGCACACGCCCAATGGAGATGGACTTTTCTGGCAGTACCGTCTACCCATTCAGTCTGACATCTTCTCGGGGACTATCCTCTTCAGACTACACCTCCACAAGCTTAGAGAGCTCAGAAGGAACGCCATATAAGTCTCCCGAACGACCTCCGATTCCTGTTCAAAACACTTTGGAAAGTTCTGAAACCAGCCCTCTTCTGTTTTCTGTACGTCAGCCTAAGTCTGTGAAAGTCGATACAGTGAATATTAAGCTCGTTGATAGTGGTCTTCTTGGAATCAAAGGACCAGTAAGAGCTATTCCTGTTACTGCTTTGGTCAATACGTCACCCTTTGATAGCAGCGGATCTACCATGATAAAGTCATTCATAAAAGAAAGTTCGCTTCTGTTAGCAAAGAAAAAGACAAGTCATCATCAAGCGAAAGGTGGAACATCTGATCAAGACCGTAACTCTCCCATACTTGGTAATCAGCGTGCCAGGAGACAGTCAAAGATGCCCACTGTGTTTGAAACAAGGAACCGGCGTCAACAAACACCAACAGTCGAGTCGCCAACAGCAGCACCTGGATCTCAACGCTCAGAATCCACAACGGATAACACAGAAAGTTCCGAAACCGGACTCCGCCTCTTGGAATTCAACCTGGCTAAGCTTCCATGCTCAGAAAGGACAAAGGCAGGCCTTGAAAACTGGAAGTTGGATAAGTATGCTTATATCAGAAGTCCCCCAGGGAATGAATACTTTCTCCAAGACAATGATACAGCTAATGAAAACATCTCAGCCAGGGAGAAGCTTCTTAAGAACAGGAACAGGATGAATGCGAGAAGGGAGGAAGAACGTAAGGAGGAGCAGGCGAGGATGAAGTTCTTCGAGAAGAAGTCTCCAAAACCACTGAAGTATGAGGAGGAAGTCAAACCAGAAAAGCCTCTTCTACGATGTTTCAGTCATGCGCCATCGTTTTGTACATTTCTCCAGTGGTTGGAAGGCGACAATAAGTTTGATCCGAGATTCAAGAAGGGGAAACAGAGGAAAAAGAAACTGATGAAGAAATACAAGTTAAAATCGAGTGAAATTCAGCTGGACGCCAGCACTAAATCGTCTCGATCAAGTGTTTCTCGATCAAGTGTTTCCCGATCAATAGGCGGTACTGGATCACCAACTATGGATGATATCCATGGCATTACGAAGCCGGTTGTGAATCGTAGAAATGGGGCAGATTTCATTCGCTTTGCTGAGGAAGCAGGAGGTGTGACGGACAGTCCAGCTGTCAAAAACACTCTCCTGGCTAGAGAGTGTATTGACACACATGAAGCAGAGGAGGAGGTGTTCCCTTTAGGGGGACATATATCACGACCACCTCGACAAAAGAGAATGTCGTTCAGTGCAGAACCAAATAACGGCCCATCCGAAGGAAACAGTGACTTCCATGCGAGGCAGTCAGATAAGAGACGAAAGTCATTAGATGTCAAAGATGGCCCTAGAAGCTCGTCTCGTTCATCACTAGCAAGCCCTGGCCAGAAATCTAACTCCCTTTCTAGTAAGGAGTCGTCTTCTCGGATAAAATCATCTACCTCCTCACAGAAACTTTCCAGAGCTAGTTCGGGATCAAAATCAGGAGGATCTCTCTTCAAGAAGAATGATCTAAGGTCACCTGGGAGAGACACAGACCTGGAGACAGAATCTGCGGATACAGAATCAGATGAGGAATCGGAACTGGAAGACTCGTTGTTCGATACGAACAAACTCAATAAGCGGTACAGCTTTGAGAAACTGAGAGGCAAAAACTACCACAAGAAGAAACCTGCATTTTTCGACATCTTGAAGAAGTACTACCGTGTCCAGAAAGCCATGAATATGCTCAGGGGGCCATCCAAGATGTCTTCTGTAATTAGCAACGCTAGTAAGACTACGACAGCTAAAGCCAAGCCTAGCAGAAACAAACCCGTTGCAGGACTCCTTCGTCGACTCACGAGACCAGTCAAGCCAAAGAGGGACATTGTCTTGGGGAAAATAAAAACATTTAAATTCCAGCAATTCAATAACCATCAACTCAAGATACCAGATGTAGAAGTTCCAGATTTTTCCGAGTATCCTATGAATGACTTCGTCGCTAACCTTGTCAAGGCCCTGGATGACTTTGTGGTCCGCAAAGAGAATGTTATTTCCAGCTACGGCATGGAGACAATCACCACAGTCACATTTACTCGACCTCAAGTCTTCACGAAAATGCTGCATATTGGATAAACTGTTCCAAGACCTTAACGTCTCTATGTTGAACACATCAGTCTGATGATGTCGCTTTCCCTTCAATATTATCCAACAGGTTGGCTCATTTCTGATTTAATTGTGATGTTTATAGTCTGATTTGCTTCTTTTTGTAATATATTTGTGGTCTATATCTGACTACGTCAGTCACTAACGCTCTCAATGACCTCATGCAGTTAATGACGACATGGTTCATTATGATTTCAAATGGTGTTTCGAGTGTTTTGCAATGTAATCTTCTTTGGTCAGCTGTTCTGGAAATTTGATTGGTCAAAAACTGTATTTAATGTCGTTATGAATATGGCCGTACCACTTATGTGTGCATATATAGGCATCAATTTAACCCCCATCACTACCCAAAGTAGGTAATAAATCTACTGTTTAAACAGAATAATTGCTTGTTGTTTTTCCGGTGCCTCTGCGGACTAATTAAAAATAGTAGAAGGCAAAGTCATCAATATCCCCCGCAATGGCAAAATACAATTCATGAATATGTCAGTTAGTTATGATTATGGCAAATGGTTTGGCGTGTATGTAGCAATGGGTGAGTGAGTAAGTTACGTTTTATGACACACTTAGCAATATTCCAGCAAAAGGGTAGCGGTCTGTAAATGATAGAATCTGGACCAGATAATCCAGTGATCAACAGCATGAGCATCGATCTACACAATTGGGATGCAATGATTATGTGTCAACCAAGTCAGTGACTATATTGCGAAATGGAAGGAGAGTATTGAAAGGTTTTAAAGTTCTGTTCCGGAAAAGAGCACTACCACCAATTTCAGACAAAGTCAAACATGTTGCCATGGAAACGCGAAAAAAATATTAGAATCAGAAATCAAAACTACCAAAAGGCACCAGTTCACCACCAGACCTATCTATGTGCCAAGTTTGGTGAAAATATATTGAACGGTTTTTTAAAGTTCTGCTCCAGAAAAGACAAAAATGTGCACCTCCTGCTGATGGCCTCACTTTCGTTTCGATAACATTTAACATGCTCTGATGTCATCATCGCTTTTCCGGTCCCATGTGACGTTGGTCTTGTGCAATATTTCGCTTAAGCATGAGTAACCCACTCCGACACATTATAGTGACTCCGAGCCGACCAGTCCTTGTTGTACCCATTAATACCGAGCTCCAGGCAGGGACCAACAAGTACCACATTTTAACGTCTTTTGTTATGACGCGACCCGGGATCGAACCCGCCACCTTCCGTTCTCCGGGCGATCGCTTAAACCACTACACCACGGAGGCGGTCTTGATGAATGGAACAAAGGCTGCTTTACCATGTAAATATTTGTATGATGAAGTATTTCAAAGTCCTGATGGAACTCAGTAGCCTGTTGGAGGATCTGCAGTTTCGCTCAAAGCTGGGGATTTAATGTGTTTGTCTCAGAGTGGAGGAAATGCCGATGAGTGAGTTTGGGCAAATAACTTCCGGTAAGGACATGAACCAGTCTTGTCAGAGCATGATTGAGAAAACATTGACAGGGGAGACAAATTTTGACATTTTGGGAACGTACGTGGAATTTCAACGCCTTTCAGACAAAAATAACTCCTCGAGGCGGTATAGAGCTAGGCGAGTATAGCAGCCAGTGCTGATTGGTTGGAAGCCTTCAGATGTGAAATGTCACAAAACTTATCCTTAATTAGATGGATAAAGAAGTCAGCGATCCTTTTGAACAGCACGTGCAGCATGAGTTGCATGAAAAACATGGAGAACACCGTACCATCTCCAAGATCAGGTTGCGTTTTTGAGACCATTTCCTGGGTTCCATTCTGAGTTTGGGAAGGAATGTCTTTGCTCAGGTAAAGTTGGAGATGTTGTCAACAATATATACTGGCCACATAAAGAAACTTTGCACACAGAAAATATAAATATAGGCCCACAACGTCTTTATACATAAATACAGGTGTCAACATAGCAAGTATTGGAGACTATCAAACGCTCATGCACGTGCCAGGCGACGTGACGTCATTGATGGTGGCCTATGGACTTGCATTGTGTTATTGCATGTGCAGTCTGTGCAGCTGCACACAACATGTGAAACTCAGAAATTGCTGTCACTGTCGAAAGCTTGATCTTTGGTCATTGAAACGTTCACAAATTCACATGAGAAGTCACATGCACACCATGCCAAGATTAACATCTGCTCAACGTCAAGAAGTCATCGGAATGGCATGAGCCAACAACAGGTGGCAGCACATTTCCAATGTCATCGTGACACGATGTCTGCATAGGACACACTGGTAGGGAACTTGGTTACAGTGAGAGTGGAGTCTTTGTGATTTTTGCGACAGAAACTTTAGGATTTGTGACAGAGTCTCTGTGATTTTAGCAACTGCAAGGCGAGGGTAAGGTGCAATAAATGCCCTGTAGACGTCCAAAATCAACTTTATAAGGGAATTATTTTCACGTTTACCTGAATGCTTTGTTTGTTCAGGAAGGAATATAGTTATATTACTCTGAAAACCTTTGATAATCTTGTAAAGTTATAAAATTGTTCATATTTTCATACTTTTTTATAATGAATTGATATATTTAAAAAAATGATTGAATAAATTATTGTAGCATGCAAAGTCAGCATTCTGATTGGGTTTATCTCCCACTATAAAGAAGCTTGTGGTGTTTTATCAGCTAAAAGAAGACACATATCTAAAATACTGAATTGATCAAATGTGACAGAAAATTTGTGATTATGAAATTGATGTAACGGAAAATTCATTCATGGTCACAGATAATTCGCAATCACAAAAATGGAATTGACGGGACACAATTTCTAAAAGTTTGTTCATGAATCGGAATTGGACGTTTCTGTTAATGTATCAGTGGTGTCTAAAGATCATATGAATGTTTGAAGCTATAATTCGAGGTGATTTAAACTGAATATAAAATGTTCCCATTTCGTCTTAACTGTTCCATGTGAGGGCAATGTTGACTAGAACATCATAAGTGGTCAAGTATAATGTGGTGATATTTGTCCCATGCTTTTAATTCCACCATGAAGTGTATAACTTTTGCGTGAATTACTTATAATAAAATTGTGCAGAATAAGTTCACTTTGGTTGAAAATCTCCTGGCATACACATTACTGTAAGGCGGACCTGTCATATCTTCCTTTTTCGCATAGTTTTCTCTATCGTTAGATTTACTTAAATATTCCGGAAATATATAGTTCAGTAAAAAGCAATCTAATGAGTCCACTTTTGGGATTAACATAGCCATGAATCAGCCACATGTTGGCCGGGGTTTTGGATGTATTTCATACAGAGTTATTCCTCAAGCCTGTAGTATTTATTCACTTTACATTCTGAAGTAATGATTTATGATTGACACTTTAGGTACTCATTGAACAAAAATCTTAAAAAAATGTGTAGACTCACAATCATCATGAAAACCATCATGAACATTGACGAAATTGTCTTCTGAAAATAATTTCTTGTGACTTGTTCATGTGGGTGTCTTGAAATTACCTGATGCACACCATTTATTGGCCAAGTAAATGGTTATACACAACAGAACAACTTACTGCCTTATCCTGAATGAACACAAAATGATAGGAATTTTCTGTTACCAGCATCTTTCAATCTCAAATATCAGTGTTAAAGACTCTGTGACATTTCTAAAATATTATTTTAGTGAAATTGATGTTAAAATATTGATATATATGACACAATTTCATGTGGAAGACTTGACATAATTCGTTGTGAATATTTTGGTCTTCGAGGGTTGTTAATCTTAATGTTTTACTCAGTTTTATTATCAAAATGACTTTCATTGCAAATTATGATAAAAATTATATCCATGCTATTGCTAGATTTATTCAAGTAAATTATACAGTTGCAAGGTGATATTATGTGTTGATTAGGAAAATTATAGTGTTTAATACCACAAACTAAAGCTATAATTACCATTTTGTCTTATTATAACACATATCATTGCAAAGACTCTGTCACAAATCACAAAGACTCTGTCACAAGACACAAAGTTTCTGTCCCAAAAATCACAAAGACTCCACTCTCATTGTAACCAAGTTCCCTACCAGTGGGTCAGGCGTTATGGAAACAGTAATGACGTCGCCGACCACCCACGTTCTGGGCGTCCCCGACGTAACGACGCCAAGACAGGACAGATGGATTCGGGTGACTCCTCTCAGACACAGGTTCCAGACGGCAGTGACCACGTACCAGACCATTCCCCAGGCCTTCAATGCTCATTTGGTAGCCTCTATGCGTCGTTGATGCACTGCTGTGCTTTGCGCACAGGGTGGTCATACCCGTTATTGACTTTGTGACTTCGTCGTGTGACCCCCTACTCGATTTTGAACTTATGACGTCATCATTACGGATGTTGTTTATGTTCTTTTGATATTTTGTTGTGGTCCGATACCTTTTACTATGACCCATGTAATGTATTTGGCCTCTGTTTAGGCCGTTTCTGTGCATGTTTGTTTTACATTTGAGAAACTGGAATTATAAAGTTACATAGTGAGTATGGTTTTACGCTGCTTTTTTGCAATATTCCAGCAATATCACGCAGGGGACACCAGAAATGGGCTTCACACATTGTACCCACGTGAGGAATCGAATCCAGGTCTTCCGCGTGACAAGTCAACGTTTTAAACACTAGGCTACCCCACGGCCCCTCAAAGTTACATAGACGTTTCCAATCAGTAGTTCAGGGGCTCCTTTCATGAAGCAACCTTTACTACCGTTAACCTTAACTCCCATTCTTTAACATTGCACTAAGGTTACCTTGTGTCTTATGATTGATTACCTTAGTGCTTTGTGAAAGATTCCCTGGACATATGAAGCCAAACATATGCTCAGCACTTAACAAAGTGCCTATTGGTGTCCTGTCAAGTACTGCCAACACACCCAAACCTTATTTTGAATAAAGCAAACCTGTTTACTGACTGACTGACTGAGTTTGGTTTTACGCCGCTTTTAGCAATATTCCAGCAAATCATGGGCTTCACACATTGTGAACCTGGAAGTGATGAGCCAACACTTTAATTAGGCTGCCCCCAAACCTGTTTACATTCTTTTATGTACTCTGTAGTGGTAACAGTTTCCACTGTCCTCTCGGTATCATACAGCAAGCAACCATTTGAGGCCGTTGGTTAGAACTATCAATCCAAGGCTCAAGTCACAAAGCTCCACATTGTAAGGTGAGGTGAGGTGAGGTGAGATTGGGTTTAACATCGTGCTTGAGAATATTTCGCTCATATGACGACGTGCATGCGTGTGTATGTGTATGTGCGGCTGCTTGTACTAGCCCAGACTTAAGCTGGTTTTATAGTGCTAGCCCACTGAGATACCATGCTGCAGGGAAGCATGAATACCCCACTCAGACACATTATACTGACTCCGAGCCGACCAGTCCTTGTA